CCATGATTTTCTATATACACAAAAAATATGCAAAACTGAATATTCATGGAAGAATGAATGTGCACATGTAGATAACAAGGATTTTTGTATGTGCACACTAAATACACCATACCTGTAGAGCAATTTTTCAAAAATATCTTTCCTGTCCACTTCAGTTGGGGCCTGAAGGCACACATCCAGTGACAATCTACCTGGTCTTCTTAATGCAGCATCTAGACTCTTAGGATCTGATGCTGTTGCAACTACAAGCACTCCTGCAGCAAAGTGAATGAAAAAGATTGCAGTCAATATTTACAAGCTGCTGAATTTGTCTCCCATCCATTTATCTTGTAATTACACACACATATAATATTATATTACATATATACATTATATATATATATATATATATATATATTATATATATATATATATATATATATATATATATATATATATATCTTCCAATATACAATACTTATCCTTTAGTGTCTGTACTTCATATTATTATATCAGAGGACAAGTACTTCTATGAGTTCCATCACACAATATAGGCTTTTTCATCATTACGCACATACATTACTTACAACTATAGTATTCCCTATAATAAAAAATAATGTTTATTACCTCTAGAGGAATTTCCAGTAACACCATCCATCAAGTGTAAAAGAGCGGTGACTATGCCTGTTGAACCTTTTCGGTCTCTGCTGCTGCACAATATGTCTATATCATCAATGAAGAGTATGCATGGGGCCCTAGGGAAAATTAATAAAGCTTAACTTCATATACAAAATGGAAAATTGTGACTAAAATATCTCTGAAAATTACAAACAAGCAGCATATTTCCACTTACCTATCAACAGCTTTATCAAACAGTTTTTTTAGGTTTTGCTCCGTTTCCCCTAAGAACTTGCTCTTTACGTCCTCTATCTGCATACTAAGAAATTTTGTGCTGTATTTACTTTTCAATGCTTCACCTATCAAACTCTTCCCACATCCTGATGGTCCACTAATTAATATTCCTTCTGCTTTCTTCAATTTTGAGCCACTATTAGATATGAATAACTGTATTTCTTCTTGCAGATCTTGTAGTACTGTTTTATAACCTCCTATGAAATCAAAGCATACACTTTTGTTCACTCCATTATCTCCAGAGGTTTTCTGGTTTTCTACATATATACATGTCTGCCATATACATTGAAAAGGAACTCCTGTCACATCAACATCCTTAATTGCAAAGTTTTTCATAGCCTTCACCTGTAGCACAATGTCTTGACTTAAGTAACTGATAATAACAATCATTCCAATCCTCAAAACTAAACACTGATTTACAAGCTGTTCTTTTAAATATGCCAAAAAGGCAGCTGATTCACTCAATTCTGTAGTATTCAAAAGGCACAGTTTTACTTCTTCTGCAAATAATCTTGAACACTGTGAGGATATAATCACATCTTCTCCCTCACACAGTGACTTGGAAGTTTCTGAAAACAGATCAGGTAAAAGTGATACAACTTACATGATAAAGAAGGGTATTAGCTTCCAACCAGACCTGACAATTTTCAAATATGACGTAATGGCATTACTGACACTAGCACTGTCTTGTTTAAAGATATGTTATACTATCTCTTGATGTTAAATACAAGAAAATATGTGAAGAAAAAAAAATACTTACCATCTTTAATAATTGCCACATTTTCTTTGATTTTGCTGTCTATTAGAAGATGTGCTGGTAAAGTTTCCCCTTTGGTTGTAAGTGTTACAAACTGGTGATTAAGGAAACCTTTCTGTTCAGCTAGACCTTTTATGCAAACAGTAAGTGAATGAACTCTGCTGATTCCTTCTAGAGTCTTATCTGTAAACAGAGTGAGACAATTCCTGAACATCATATCATGTTATATAACAGTAAATACTTAATCTGGAATTCAGATCCTTTATAACAGGATGCTACAAAAGCAAATATGAATGGCTTGAAATATCATAATAAAAGCAATATCCTATGTAGCTATGTATTCTATGGTGTTAAGTTATGCCACATTAGGAGTCTGAGATAATCAATACAAAATCAAATTCAAGGTCATGGAATAAGGTTTTTTAATAATCTAATAGACAGACTTAACAATATCCAGTACAGATCTGGATATTTAATAAAATTTAATTTAATTTAATTTAATAAAAGGTGACTGAAAGAGAAATAACGTGCATACTTTGGAATTACCTTGAAGCATCTCCTTAGGAATTAAAACAACCTTGGCTGTGATCTCTGGCTGCAGGGTTGAATTTAAAGACTCATTTCCGCTATCTTTTGTTCGTTTTCTTGCATTCTTCTTCTGGCTCTTCTTCTCTCCCTTCTCACTACACTTAGTTTTAGTGCTCATGCTTCTTATGCCTTCTTACTAAATACAGTGATGGATGAGTTATACACTGTGTCTTCTTACGCCATCTGTTGATTGACAGGAAAATTAAAATCTCTAAAAAAAAAAACTAAACAAAAATACATATCTATAAATACAAGTATATATAT